AATGACAATGACAATGACAATGACAATGACAATGACAATGACAATGACAATGACAATGACAATGACAATGACAATGACAATGACAATGACAATAAAACCTGAAAATTATAATAATAAATAATGAACAGGTAAATCTTTAATAGAGCTGTTCTTGTTTACCCTATTTGCGCCTTTCTTTTGCAGTTAGCTGCAATCGGTCCCTTTGCCGGCGTCATCAATTATAATTTCAGCCAATTAACTGTAGCCTTTAATTGCAGTTCTTGTTCTCTTCTGTTTGACCCATATACTGCTATTGCCATTCCTATTCATCCGCAGACAAAGTGCAGTAAAGTTTTTTTTTTGCAATTTGCCGACAAAGTGCAAAAGCGGGATAATCGCGGGGAAGGTGGAGATGTACTATTGTGTAGGTGGAAAGTGGGGCGTAAAGCTGAAAAGTTTATTTGCGACGCTTCATTCTGTATTTGATTGCCACTTCGGGCCATTGTTTTGTTTGCGTTTTCCCAATGGGTTTACCCAATGTAGTTTTTCTGAACTCTTTTTCCCTTGGCTTAAATTGAGTTAAAGCGGAAGAAAAAACTTTCTGAATAGCATTCATGACTTTTCATTGAAAACAGTTGAGCTGCAGTTCAAATGCCTTTTACTGTTTTAGTTTATAAAAGCAGCTTAATTGACGAATAAATGTTGTCGTATACTACGAATGTGGAAAATATCTTGTCAGAGAGAAATATATAATTTTTAGATAAATACATTGATGTAACTGTAGCCTGTTTAAAGTTGGCTTGCGACCTTTGACATATCACAGGCACATCAGATTTTTGTTTAAGTTTTCTTGTCTGCACGTAGATCGCAATGCAATTTTTTTTTTTTTTTTTTTTTTGCTTTTTCTTGTATTCCACACACAACGCAATTAAACTTAATGAAGGAAATCGTGACACTGTCAGCAATATATATTTTCCGTCTACTGTTTCTCTCATATGCCTTTTCACTCTCTCCCTCTCTCTCTATATATATATCTAGATTCACTCTCTTTTGATAGCTCTATCTCTTGCTCTGCCCAGCTTGAATGTTCATGTTAATTAAGCTGACTTTAATAATGAGCATAATTGAAACATTTGTGCAGCATTCATGTGATACACGCTTGCGATCAGATAAGTCCTAAGAAAACAGGCCACAAATATTCTGGTGCTGCTTAACTGGCTGTATAATACTCGTTTGGAGCTAAATAAATGCTTTGAAAGTCTAATTGTTTTGCTTGAGTCAGACGTCAATAGGCAAGGCAATTAATATTCAGTATTTCATTTCCAAAACTTGCTAAGCCTAGCTGTAAAATTATGACAGTCAAAGGGGTATATGGGTTTTACGCCACATCCGCCTTTTAATAAACAGGAAGAGTTAAGCATATGCTCACTCATTATATAGATATATGCAGATTATTAGACAGATTGACAAACAGATATATAGGTAGACAGACAGATACTACTACTGCACATCTGGCCAAGGCAGAACCAATAAACTCTGTTCACTCCTTGAACGAGTATAACGATTGTTGCAAATAATTCTCCAGCCCAGAAGTTTTGATTGTGTTTGTGTTTATTTAGGACTTGTAAAAGCTTTTTGATCATTTCGGAGCGGCCGTAACATTTATGCCGCAAGCATTCCACAAATATTTGAAATTTCGCCACAGTATGTACGAACGCATAATTGTAAGCATTGTTACACAATACACACATCTCTCTCTGTATCTCTCTCTTTTTCTTTTTCTCTCTCTCTTTCTCTCTCTTCCCTCTCTTTCACATTCTCTTGTTATTATTGTCATTATTTTTAATATGCAACACGTTTCGTTGCTAATTATGCGAGTGCATAAAGTGCAGGTAGCCCAAAGCCCCCGAACCCCGCGCTGCATTGCTCTGCTCTGCTGCTGCCCCTCGTTGTCGTCTGTAGGCCAAGAGTGCTTTGATTATTGCCCGCTTCTCTGTGTGTGTGCCACCTTTTTGTACGTGCTCTAATTAATAAGGACTCGTCTAATTTTGTGCTCATATGTGGAGACACACGTACACGCGCACACGCACACATACACTCGAACAGCAGCAAAAAATAGCCATCAAGTAATTAAAGCCCTGTTGAATCGTCCTCGTCATGCACAGCTGGCACGCAGCCCTCCAGTCATTGAGGTCTCACAATAATATCCAATGTCGGCGCCTGTAAAACAACGAATACAAAATGTCACACGATTTTCGGATGTTTCACTGTATTTTTATGAAAGATGCTGACGCCTAATTGGCCATTGGATAAAGCTCAAAAGTTCTTCACTTATCAAACACAACTGAACAGGACTGGGTAAAGTAAACATGAAAAGAGCTCAAATTAATTTAAAGAACTTTTTATGTTATTTGACTGACTTTAAAACTACTAAAATGTATTTAAAACTATTGCCAATTAGATTATATCTAGTATTCAGATGTAATTAAATACTTTTTTAACGAAAGCTAAAACTACAATATAATATAAATACAATAGAGTCCCGATAATTCGAAATGACAAGAGATCAGTTTATTATTCGATTTACACAGAAATTAAAATTATAGAAAATTATTGAGAAAGGTGTTTTTTGAAGGGGATAGATTTTTTTGATTTATCGCGTTTTTCGATTTAGTGGGGTACGAATTATCAAAATATCCTACTTCAGCAATTACCTATTATTCCTCCACTTCAAAAAGAAAATCATCCTGAAGTAAAAATATAGCCAAACATTTAGAATAGCTGTACGTTTTTGCAGATAAGTAGTGGAGTGTCGACATAACATCCCATAAGTTCGGCTAACGAATATACGTAACACGCATTAAAAGAAAAATTCGTAACAGTTTTTAAACATAGCATATGTATGACATCCAATATATGACCAGAACTCTATACAAAATAGATCCATTCAGAGGCTTGACTTTATAGCTGTTCTCTGTTCTCTCCCTATCTTCACATTCGACTGCAGCACATCAAACTCGTTGGTTAAGCGTAATCTAATCCTGGTTACCAAATTTCATTACAACTTGTTGGCCTGTGTAATTAATGTACGCTGTAAACTCTGAAGGCGATGAATACCCTGTATTTAATTGGACATGCAAACAGGAGCTTAATTAGATCTTTAAGAGATTAATTCATTCATTAATTTTAATAAACTATTCATAGAATAAATATATTTTAGCTTTTTTTTTAGAATTTTAAAATATTTTCAAAATGATATTTTAATTGTATAAATTAATTTATCGGCCCACATACTAGTTAAAATATACAGCTCAAGGTATTAGCAGGTCGTGCATTTCTTTGAAATCAGGGGCTAATTAGATTATTACACGCATACATGTATATGAAAGGGCTTCGACAGTAATTTGCTCTGCTTATAAGAATGCGCTGTTGAGCCTGGCGTATGCGTAATTTTCAGCAGCTACAATTTCCGCTGGCTGATGTGAAAATTTCGAGGAAAATATTAATTTTGCAGCTGGCTTCTGTAAATTTTAATCAGCAATAAGTGCTGCGGTGGTTTTGGGTCGTTGCGTTTTGACGACGACAACAACAACAACAATAACTACAAAAGCAGCAAAAGCTGATTAAAGCTAACTGTGCATCCTCTTAACTATCTGCAGCTGAAACTCATTTGCTCTATCTCACTCACACTATATTCTGTCTATCCCTTTGTCTCTCTCCCCCTCACGCTTTCTTTAGAGCTGCAGCTGCAACGCATTATTGGCACCATGAGCGCCAGCAGTCGACAGTGGACGTCGGCAGCGTCCTTCTGGCAGCGACAGCGGCAGCGTCAACGTCGTCGACGTCGGCCAGCAACGGAAACGGATGTGGGGCAGGGACGAGCGCATAAACAACTGTGCAACACTGTTGGCACAAACATATCAGCGGCTTATGATGATAATGAAGCCGGCAATAGCCCAGCTCCAACTACAAATTATAACATTTCCGGCTTACTAGATTGCCAGCAGCGACAACAACAGCAACAACAACAACAACAACAACAGCTAACAGGCCGCCTACATCGGCGCTCATTGCCAGTGCCGCTGCTGTTGCTGCTGATGCTCCTAGTTGATTGTTCATTGTCAGCGACTGGAAATGACTCGAGCCTGGCACCCAATGTGACCGTCACGGAAATCGCATTATCCATTAATGAGTCAACAACCACATTATCAACGGCCGCAACACCAACGGCAGCAGGAGTAGCAGCAGGAGCAGGAGCAGGAGCAGCAACCACAGCTCTAGCATTGAGTGAGCTAACTGAAGCAGCTAAAGAGGAAGTGAAGGACATTGAGAACACCAGTGAATATATATTCGATCGCACCGATGTGCGCATTATATTCATAACGCTCTACACGATTGTCTTCTGCTGCTGCTTCTTCGGTAAGTGGAGTTCTATAGATGAATCAAATATAAATAAATAAATGACTCAAATGAATTAAGGAATTACAATCACAATCATTCTGATAATACATATATAAGACAATTCAAGCTTTAGCTAGAGAGCTGAGCATTTTCTATTTATGCTCATTGTCTATTTGAAAGACTGAAATATTCTTAGTAGTTCCGCTGATGAACCATCTTGTCTTGTTGGTTGGCTAATCTGGATCCAAATTTTATGAACTGAAAATGTGCAATTGTGAAACTGTTGCATTGCATTGAGTGCCATTTGAGCGATTATCGACATTGTTCATGAGCGACTAAGCTCCATAGTTCACAGTTCAGCACGAAGCTCATTTCATTATCCGGCTCAATTGGGTTTACTCAGCAGCTGCTGACGTCTGTGAGACAGAAGCGATACCTTGTTATCTTTTGCTTGTTATCAGTTCCAAGCTGCCCCAAGTTATTTCACTTTTAAGTAGTGAAAGGCTTTTTAGTTCGAATTTCGAAATGAATAGAAATTGATTCATAGCTGACCTGCGCTCAACTGCTCCCAGCTTAATTCGGTTTTTTCTTTTTTTCAGCCAACCATTTTGTGCCAAACCAGCAAAAGCAAATTGGCTTTTGGTAGGTGCTGCTGGCATCGATCCCAGAGCTCACATTGTGTTGTATGTTCATTTAGTTGCTTATTTTGGCTATGCTTTTGTTTCCCTTTGTTCTGCCTTTCCCTCTCCTTTCTCTCTTTCTCTGTATACATCTCGGTGTCCCTGTTAACTGCTCACTTGCCAATTACTCAGCAGCTCTTAGCTGTCCCTATAAAAAAAGTAGACAAAAATGGCTACAGATATGGCTAAGGACTAAAGCACTCTTTTGTGGCTTGACCGCTTGACCGACTTTCAGCTTGTGGTTGGCTTTTTCGGGTTCCTTTGTTGCTCCTAGCCCGAAAGTTAACAAAAACAAAAAAGTGAATTGTTCATGTTTGGTCTGCAAATCAATGAACCGTTTCAAGGGGGTCTTCAAAAAACCTTTCACATTATTTTTGTTTATTCAAGCAAATGTAAATATATAAACACAGATTGTAATATTTATTTAAATATATATATTCGTTATGGTACAATAAAGTTAATATTTTCTATTATGTATAGTACATAGTGTAGTTGTGTAATAATCAATTGATAATTTAAGTAACTATAATTTGTAATAAAAGAAATATTATGTATGTTTTCTTTTTATTCTTAATTTATTTGCATTAATGACATCCAACAATGTTACTGACTTTTTTCGATTTATATTTCTTTGTATTGTTGGCTTTAGGTAATTCGCATTAGCTTAAAAGCAAATGCAATGCCATTAAATGAAGCGTTTCATTCGACCGAGCGTCAAGTGCAGCAATTAGTGGCAAATTAAACACCGCACACAGACGCAGACACGCATACACACACGCACGCTGGTGGGGCATATTAAAATGGTCGCTCTTACAGCCAGGGGGCAATAAAGTGTCGTGTCATCGCTTCGGCCAGACGAACGCAACAACAACAAACAGCAAACAGCAACAACAACACCTACTGCAGACCGGCCACATTTTATGGCCAAATGCTTTGCATGTTTTAGCCAACTCCCATTTATCCCCTCGATTCATTTAGCACGCAGCAAACATAAACATTAAAAAACACACAGAATGAGGATAGACAATGTCGCCAAGCAGCCGAAACAACATAATTGATTGCAGCAAGCCATTGTCGTTGCCTGACATAATTGTTGCTCCTAAGCTTTTCAAATAGATGTCCCTCTAATTAAAGCCCGAATCCACATAATGGCCCGATTGACTAATTAATGCAATCATTCACTATGTGCCGACACACGAGGCGTATGCGCAATTTTACATAAACCAAAATAGTCAGAGAGCACAGCAATAATATTAGCATTGAGTAACTGTATAACACACACACATATATATATA